ATAAGAAGGCCTCTGTTGGCGATTATAGACGGGGAACTGCCTTCTCTCTCCAAGGAACGAATCGTGCTGATACTGGAGTCCCTCTCTGCTGTGCTGAGCGATGCTGAGCAGCCATTACTCTGCTCCTCCGATTCTGAACTCAGCAGGAACTTGGTTTGGTCATCCACTGGACTGTGGCAAACATCCTCCAGATCCAACCCGTAGTTGGTCTCGACAGATGCGGCGCAATCTTTCCTGCTGTCGTCCAGACCATCATCTTGTCCGATCATGACCAAAGAATCGCTGGAGCTGCGTTTAAAATCAGCCAGAGGAGAATCCGGGTCGGAGTCATTTTCCTGGTAAAATGGGTTTGACTTGCTTCCTCTTGTGTAGCGCCTTAAAAACGGTCGAACGGTTTCATCTTCTTCGGCGTTGTGTTGTGGAAAGTCCGCCTCCGCGGAGTCGGGCACGTCATAGGCAGCGGGCGTGGCGGTCTCTGTGTGATTGATCTTCTCAGCCTCCGCTCTCTGCGCAGGAACGTCGCTGTTCTCTTGAGGAACATGTGCCGCCTGCGATGCTGGAGCGACCTCTGAGTCACTAGGTGGAGAGGGTAGGAGCGGGGATGAATTTGGTGATTCTGTTATTTCTGGCGGTTGGCTGACAAATATTTTAAGTATGAGGAGGTTTAACCAGTCAGGGTCCGACAGTTTGGCAACGAGAGGCAGCAGGACATTACAGGTTATCAGCTCTCCAACCACAAACCGTCCAGTGCGCGTTTCCAAGTGAGGTGAAGGCACTAAAACGTGCAGCAGCAAGTCTGCGATTGCTCTCACGTAGTTGACTTCCACTGTTTCGCTGGTCACGGCGAGGTGAGGGGTGCTGATGCTGGAGTAAGCCTTCCACAGCTGCTCATTCTCGCTGCTCTCATCTGCTCTCAGAGACACCTGCTGCTCGGTCACCAGCTGCTTGGCTTTCATGTAGTCCTGTAGATGGCAGCCGAACAGATCGAGGACCCTCTGGGTCAGTTCCTGCAGGATTCACACATTTACACGACCCGTTAGAGAAATTCTCTGATTCTCTCCATTTTTAATTCTGCATGTTAATTTAGTTTCTTTACAAGCAAAGAAATCTTGTAATAATTCCTGTGAATGTTGCCGTTAATGGTCAAATATACAGTAACATACACTAATAATGGTGTGCAGCAAATACTACTGATCATCTTGTAAGATGGCACAAGTAAATAGTCTGTTCTGTTTTATGCTGGATGTAAGAAAAATGACTAAAGTGACACCGACAAAGATC